TATGAATGTTTATTAAGAATGCGCGCTTAATTTTCATGCATAAATATGACGCTAGAATATAAGTGATTTTCACCTAATCGTTATGAACTTATATTCACAAGTAGTGGAGGTTGCTTATAAACAATCGCGTTAAATGAATTCTTGGCACGAGTTTCATGCTCATCATAGTAACGAATGCCTCGTCAACACTTATAGTTTTCATAATACTTAATGATCTTTGATTGTATCTTTATTGTGCTATTCACGTAAAGGACTTTTGGAGAATGTTGTGAATTGCGTTGCGCAAACCCATCCAATTCATTAACTTAAGGAAAACTTGACGGTTAATTTAAGCGGACCTAATTAATCCGGAGTGTTGAGTTTCATAATTTATCGAAAGACCAACTGAGAATCAATCTTGTATGCAAGTATAACATGTGTGGAGAAGAACCCCTTAGCTAGCCTTCATTCCATTCATTCCATCACAAATTCATATTTACATTCCGCTTAGTTTATTAACTTGTTTTGTTATTTCAATTTTCGTCAAATCAAAACTTTCCCCCCCCCCTTTTACTTTCTTGTTCTTTAGTGCTTAGAATTTGTTTAGTTTATGTTTTAAAGTATTTTGAATCAAGCCATAATCTTAAATTCGTCCAAAATTAGTTTTGAGTCTTTTGGTTTGTCTTAATGTTTTAAATTTTAGTTTTGCATTCTTTGAGTCTAGTTTAGTGTTTTATATTGTTTTTACGTTCTTAAGTCAATTTAGAAGGTTTTAGCAAGCCCTCTTAATCCCCGGTCTAGAACGATCTCTCACTTATCCATTCTACTACAATTGTCAAACGAGGGTTTAATTTGAGTGTCAAGTAATTCTCACATCAAAAAATCATCCTCTTTCGTTTTGAAGAGATGTGGATGAAGCATGAGGGGTGTGAGGATGTCGTTCGCCAGGCTTGAAGTACCCTAGTGGCAAGTATTCCTATGTTCCAGATTTGCAAGAAAATCGAGGTGGTTCACATGGCTCTCTTAAAATGGCATCAGGAGATGCTTCACTCGCAACAACTGGAAATGGATCGCATATGGTCAAAGCTAGGCTTTATTCTTAATCAATCGCTAGCGAGAATCTCATCGCTGAGAGAGCTAATCTACTATCCCAGCTGGATGGTCTTCTCTCCCTCGAAGAGTCTTATTGGCGGCAACGTTCCCGATGCACTTGGTTAAATGAGGGTGATAGCAATTCCCGCTTCTTCCACCGTAAGATGGCTGATAGAAAGGTGAAAAATCAAATTTGTGGCTTTTAACTGAGGGTGAAGGAAATATTGAAAACATTATGTTGGATTACTTTTCTAACATCTTCAAGTCTTAACTTGGTGGGAATGAGGCGACAAAATTATTTAAGGTCAAAGTTGCCTTGTTCCAAATGGATGCCTTAACTGCCCTAGGCCCAGACGGACTCCCACCATTATTCTACCAACGATTTTGGAATGTTATCAGCTCTGATGTCTCCAGGGTAGTCCTCACATTCATTGAATTCAGGAAAATGCTCAAGAAAATCAACTACACATACGTCTATCTCATCCTAAAACAAGAAAATCCCAACGAGATGCCTCACATTCACCCCTTTAGCCTTTGCAATGTCGTCTACAAATTGCCTCCACGATCTTAACTAATCACCCTAAGCTAATCCTCCCCAAGATTATTTCCCATTATCAAAGCGTTTTTGTTCCTGGACGCTTGATTTCGGACAACACCATCTTTGCCACAGAGATTGTCCACTTCATTTTCAGGAGTAAACGAGGCAAAAGGGGCTTCATGGCTATGAAGCTTGACATTAGTAAGGCGTATGATTATGTGGATTGGGGGTTTCTTAAAGGTATTCTGGAAGCTATGGGCTTCCCTCCATACCGAACCAATCTGTTGATGTGATGTGTGAGCATTGTTTCATATTCCTTTATCAACGGGTCTCCTCGTGGCTACCTCCACCTGGCTAAGGGGCTCCAGCAGAACGACCCCATCTCCCCTTACTTATTCCTCATGTGTGCAAAAAACCTCTCGACTTTGCTCACCAAGTTCGACCATGAGGGGCAAATTCAGAGGATCTCCATTTGACGTGGCACTCCGTCTATCAATCACCTCATGTTCACATATGATTGTCTGCTTTTCGCCAAAACGGATATTGACAATTGCCTCCAGATTTCCAAAGTTCAAAAAGCTTACGAAGAGGCCTCGGGTCAATCTGTTAACCTTATGAAAAGTGTAATCTTTTTCAGCCACAATATCAAGCGTATCAATCAGGATGGGCTAAGTTGTTTACTGGGGCTGGATAGAGTGGATAAACACAAGAAATATCTTAGGCTTCCTACTCTAGTTGGCCGGAATAAGCAGGCATGTTTCAGCCATATCAAGGAAAGACTTTGGAAACAGTTGCAGGGTTGGAAGGGCCGACTTCTAATCTCTGTGAATCACGAATTACTCGTCAAAGTTATCGCCCAAGCCATTCCTCTTTATACCATACATTGCTTTCTCCTTCCCAAAAGCTTATGTGATGATCTTAACCGTATAGTTACAGCGTTTTGGTGGAATGGCATCGACGATTCCAAAATGATTCGCTGGATCTCCTGGGACAAACTTTGTGCCCCAAAATCAAAGGGTGGCTTGGGTTTCAAAAATATGTATGCATTCAATCTCGACTTGATTGCCAAACAAAGGTGAAGACTCATCTACGAACCCCACTCTTTGGTGGCTCAAACCTTTAAGGCAAAATATTATCTTACTAGCAACTTCCTTCAGGTCATGTTTGATAGAATGCATCTTTTGTTTGGAAAAGTATTTGTGTTGGTAGGCCCATTATTGAAGGGGATTCCCGCTGGTTGATTGGTTTGGGTTGCACTACCAAAATTTAGGAAGACTGATGGTTACCTTCCTCTTCTCAATTTAAAATTTTCTCACCTAAACCCACAGGCTGCTGCGTCACTTTTATGGACCAACTTATCTGTCATCAATCTCACCAATGTAACCTTCCCTTCCTCAAGTCTCTGTTCACCGACATTGAAATGGAAACGATCATTTCTAACCCCCTCAGCTTTCAAAATCCGTGATACAAAAAGTCATTTTTCGTTCAAGAGTGCTTATCAGGTAGCGTGGTGACGGCTATAAAACCCCAACAATGGAGCTTCCTCTTACGTCCCTTCTGCGTCATCCACTCTTTGGAAAAGAATATGGTCAGCCAGGGTCCGTCCCAAAGTCAAAGGTGCTTAGCGGTTTTGTCAGGACATCATCCCCACCAAATCTACCCTTGACAGATGCCATATGCATACGGATCTAATGTTTGTGCTCTGCAACAACCATGTGGAATCCCTCCTCCATCTTCTGCGAGATTGTTGTTTTGCCTCATGTTTTTAGCTCTCCACTTCCATTAGCAAACCTCATTCTGATTCACATGTCCTCATTGTTTTTTATTGGGGCACATCCCTAGCTTCCTCTCTCAATCATCAAAATTTCGAATTGTGCTTAATGGTGTGGGCGATGTGGGTGGCAAGAAACGATATGCTATGGAAAGGCATGGTTGAGAAACCTGATGCTCTCTTGGCCAGGGCCACAAGTTGGTGGCTCGACTTTCAGAAAGCTCTCAAGGTGGAAGCTACTGTCTGGCCCAGGCTCTTGCCTCTGCTTGGACTAAACCTCCACTGGGATTCCTCAAAGTAAATGTCGATGGTGCTTGGAATGAGTCACTCAAATCTGGTGGAGTTGGTGTTGTGGTCCGTGATGAGCACGATAATTTTGTTGCTGCGTCTACAAAGATTTTTGAGCATGTTTCCTCGCCTCTCCTAATCGAAGCCTTTGCGGTTAGAGAAGGGCTTTTGTTGGCTGTTCAATGGGGCTTACATAACATTATTATTAAGAGCGATTCCTTCCAGATCGTCTTTGCCTTGCAAAAGGGTCCTCTGAGTTCGTCCCTCATCGGGCACATTGTCGAGGATTTATATACTATGATATATGTTATTACTAGAGCTTCTATTACGTATACACGCCGCCAACATAATGAAGTTGCTCACCGTCTTGCCCGTTTTGCCTTAACTGACCCATGTGAATATCTTTCGAAGAGCCTCCCGACATTCTCATGGATGTTTTACTCTCTCTAATTGTACTGCCTAGATTTTCGGGTTTTACTAGCCCACTGTACTGATCTGTTACTCATCTTTTATCAATGAATTAATGCTGCAGCTTTCAAGAAAAAAGAAAAAAAAAAAAGTGAATGCCCGGTGGATATAACATTCTCAAAAGATAACATGTATAACTCAAAAATATGGCTGGCAAATTAAGAAGGGAATTGTTATTGGCACTCTAAATTTCTCACTCTACAGTTCAAACTTTCTATATTTAGAATGTGAGGAGTGTAAAATGAGATTTTTGGAGTGCCAATAACATTTCCCATTAAGAAATTCAGCCGCTAAAGTTTTTCTAGTGAAAAATGTCATCAAACTCAAAAATTTGATCTTTAATTGAATACACCTCTAATTCGTCACTAATCAGTCCCATCACGAAACCTTAGCTAGTTTGCAAGTGCATTGTGGACAAGTATGCGTGTGTCCATTGTCAAGTTCATGGTTCTTTGACGTCTTTCCTTTTGTAGCTTATTGATTTGTTCAAAACGTAAGGTAATGAACAAAGCCGTATGTTTATATTGCATGGTTGGCATTGTCTAACTCTCATTGGTTTAGAGCATTTTCAATAGAGAGATGCAAATTCGAGATGCAAAGAAAAAAATGGTAGGTTTGAGAAACAATGACTTTGAATAATTGAATGATGAGTTTGGCTAATGACGGTTCTAATAGGGGACCTCTCAAATCTTGATTACGATAATATGAAATGTTACTAACACTGCAAAAGGTTTCAATACCCTTCACGTGTGCGCTGCGTGCACACATTTGAATTTTAAAGTGCCAAGAACATCCCTCGTATGAAAGCAAGCATGAGTTTGGAGTTCCAATAACATTTCCAATATGAAATCAAGGGATGCTGAGTAAAATTAACTGAATATTCGATTCCGCCAAATAAGTTGAAGCACATAAATATCAGTCTAAACGCAAAAGTACACCAAAAGGGAACCTCAACATGATTAATGCTCTTTATTTCAATACCTAGCAGCTAAATGAGCATCTACGAACCCCACTCTTTGGTGGCTCAAACCCTTAAGGCAAAGTATTATCCTACTAGCAAATTCCTTCAGGTCATGTTTGATACAATGCATCTTTTGTTTGGAAAAGTATTTGTGTTGGTAGGCCCATTATTGAAGGGGATTCCCACTGGTTAATTGGTTTGGGTTGCAATACCAAAATTTGGGAAGCATGATGGTTACCTTCCTCTTCTCAATTCAAAATTTTCTCACTTAAACCCACAGGCTACTGCGTCATTTTTATGGACCAACTTATCTGTCATCAATCTCACCAATGCAACCTTCCTTTCCTCAAGTCTCTGTTCACCGACATTGAAATGGAAGCGATCATTTCTAACCCCCTCAGCTTTCAAAATCTGTCAGACAAACTCATTTGGCACTATGATACGAAAGGTCATTTTTCGGTCAAGAGTGCTTATTAGGTAGTGTGGTGACGGCTATAAAACCCCAACAATAGAGCCTCCTCTTACGTCCCTTCCACATCATCCACTCTCTGGAAAAGAATATGGTCAGCCAGGGTCCCTCCCAAAGTCAAAGGTGCTTAGCGGTTTTGTCAAGACATCATCCCCACCAAATCTACCCTTGACATACGCCATATGCATACGGATCTAATGTGTGTGCTCTGCAACAACCATGTGGAATCCCTCCTCCATCTTTTGCGAGATTGTTGTTTTGCCTCATGTTATTAGCTCTCCACTTCCATTGGCAAACCCCATTCTGATTCACATGTCCTCTTTGTTTTTTATTGGGGGCACATCCCTAGCTTCCTCTCTCAATCATCAAAATTTCGAATTGTGCTTAATGGTTTGGGCGATGTGGGTGGCAAGAAACGATATGCTATGGAAGGGCACGGTTGAGAAACCTGATGCTCTCTTGGCCAGAGCCACAAGCTGGTGGCTCGACTTTCAAAAAGCTCTCAAGGTGGAAGCTACTGTCGGGCCCAGGCTCTTGCCTCTGCTTGGACTAAACCTCCACTGGGATTCCTCAAAGTAAATGTCGATGGTGCTTGGAGTGAGTCACTTAAATCTGGTGGAGTTGGTGTTGTGGTCCGTGATGAGCACGGTAATTTTGTTGCTGCGTCTACAAAGACTTTCGAGCATGTTTCCTCGCCTTTCCTAATCGAAGCCTTTGCGGTTAGAGAAGGGCTTTTGTTGGCGGTTCAATGGGGCTTACATAACATTATTATTAAGAGCAATTCTTTCCAGATCATCTTTGCCTTACAAAAGGGTCCTCTGAATTTGTCCCTCATTGGGCACATTGTCGAGGATTCATATGCTATGATATATGTTATTACTAGAGCTTTTATTACACATACACGCCGCCAACATAATGAAGCTGCTCACCGTCTTGCCCATTTTGCCTTAACTGACCCATGTGAATATCTTTCAAAGAGCCTCCCGACATTCTCATGGATGTTTTACTCTCTCTGATTGTACTGCCTAGATTTTCGGGCCAGCCCACTGTACTGATCTGTTACTCATCTTTTATCAATGAATTAATGTTAACTTTCAAGAAAAAAGAAAAAAAAATGAATGCCCGGTGGATATAACATTCTCAAAAGATAACATGTATAACTCAAAAATATGGCTGACAAATTAAGAAGGGAATTGTTATTGGCACTCCAAATTTCTCATTCTACACTTCAAACTTTCGATATTTAGCAAGAAAAATACACTTGTGAGGAGTGTAAAATGAGATTTTTGGAGTGCCAATAACACTTCCCATTAAGAAATTCAGCCGCTAAAGTTTTTCTAGCGAAAAATGTCATCAAACTCAAAATTTGATCTTTAATTGAATACACCTCTAATTCGTCACTAATCAGTCCCATCACGAAACCTTAGCTAGTTTGCAAGTGCATTGTGGACAAGTATGCGTGTGTCCATTGTCAAGTTCATGGTTCTTTGACGTCTTTCCTTTTGTAGCTTATTGATTTTTTAAAAACGCAAGGTAATGAACATAGCCATATGTGTATATTGCATGGTTGGCATTGTCTGACTCTCGTTGGTTTAGAGCATTTTCAATACAGAGATGCAAATTCGAGATGCAAAGAAAAAAAATGGTAGGTTTGAGAAACAATGACTTTGAATAATTGAATGATGAGTTTGGCTAATGACGGTTCTAATAGGGGACCTCTCAAATCTTGATTACGATAATATGAAATGTTACTAACACTGCAAAAGGTTTCAATACCCTTCACGTGTGCGCTGCGTGCACACATTTGAATTTTAAAGTGCCAAGAACATCCCTCGTATGAAAGCAAGCATGAGTTTGGAGTTCCAATAACATTTCCAATATGAAATCAAGGGACGCTGAGTAAAATTAACTGAATATTCGATTCCGCCAAATAAGTTGAAGCACATAAATATCAGTCTAAACGCAAAAGTACACCAAAAGGGAACCTCAACATGATTAATGCTCTTTATTTCAATACCTAGCAGCTAAATGAGCATCATACATTGCATTTTAAATCACAGGGTCATTCCTAGAAAGATAATTCTTTCCATCCACCATAGCTCTCCTCAGCATATCTTCTAGAAGCTACTTCTCTGTAAAAACAAATAGTCGATTCACCACACACTAACTCGAATCTAGTCAAAAACGGAAGTTCTGGTTACGTTTGGTAAGCTATAAACAGTAATACCTGAGGCTCAGGAGTGAAAGTAAGTCCAATTATGATCTCCCCGCGATATTCCTGGTCCTTGTTGACAACATTGTATGCAGTCGGAGGAAGCCTTCCATCAGCGAACAATGGCTCCAAAGGAACGCTGCATTGGCCATGGATAAATTAGACATCGAACTATACACGTTTTAGATAGCTTTACCAGAGATAGAACACTATAACAGGCTGCAAATAACTTTTGAGTGACCTTATAAAGATGGAAATGAAAAAAGATGACAAATTATTGAGTACTCACATTGCTTCGCCAACAAAGTCATCCTTGGTAAAGGTATCTTTGTCCATTATTTTCAAACGAAGCTCAGAAACATCATCCGTAACTGTGAACAAAAAACTTTCATTCCATTCGGGGTCAGATCCTTTCCCTGCATGTACGATTTTTAAATCACAGTTAATCGGAGACAACACCAGATGGATCCGATCGGAATGTGCACAAACAATACACACACACACACACACACACACACACAAGGGGTAGCTACAACTGTATACCTTTAGCCACAGTGCTTTTCTTCTCTTGGGTCTTCACAGTGAAAATAACATAGGGATCCATCTTATTAACTGCTACATATTATTCAACCCATGACATACATACATTAATTAGCACTATTCAGAAATCAAATGCAAACAAATTTAACCGAGCGGCGTGTTCAAATCAGAAATCAAAATAACATATCATATATATAGACGAAAAATTGCTTAAAATACCGTTAAGAAAATGATTTATGCGCAACATTTTTCTCCTTTTGTTCACCCCTTTTCCTCGTTCTGGCCATCGGATTGAATTAATCAAACAAAAACAATGGTAATATTGAAAAAGGTGTGTGCTTGTCATTAAGGTATCTTTATTCTCTTTTGTTTTGGGAAATGTATGTTCGTCTGTTGCCGATTACAGGAAAATGAAACGCATCTACCAACATATAAGCAAAATACAAAAAATGGATTAGACATAAAGATCATGCTAGTGGGGAGAAAACAAACACCAGAAATAAAATCAGATCTTTTCTGCATCACTTGATATTACCAAGAATCAGTGAAAAGGGATTTTAAAAAATTGATGATTTTTTGTTTGGGGTATTCAATCGAATATTAAACTAATTTTGCAGACATGCATACACAAATGCATACATGAACAACAAAAAAGAAAGCTCATAAAGCCTTGAAATTAACAGCATCCAGCTGATAGAAGAACCAAACAATTCAGATCTGCAGATGGTGAGAAGCATAAATTTAAGAACCAAACCATGTGCACCAAAAATCATTTCAGATGATTAAATCAAAGATTCAAACATGAGAGAGAGAGAGAGTGAGTGAGTTACAGAGAAAATCTTTGTTCTTGAGGCCTTTGGCTTCAACAAGAAGGACTTCAAGGGTTCCGAGAGGCATCTTTCTTTGGTTGGTTTGTTTGGGGTTTGGAATTTGTTGGATGAAAAGAGAGTGAAGCAGTGAGGGTGTTAAAGTTGTGAAGGAATGGTGCAGTTTTCAAGTTTCATGTGACAATTGTACTTGCATTTCTGACTCCTCCAATGCATGACGAAACCTTTATTTATTGACGTTTCGTACCAACTTCCCATACCCCCGTTTGACTAGAGGTTGACTGCCACTCTTCATTCTCATTCCAAATTCTAAATCTTTATCTATACTATCTGTTAATAAAACACTATATATCAATAAAAAATAATAATAATTATTATTATTATATTCTTCCATGATAATTGAGAAAAAAAATACTAGAAGAGTTGCTGTTTTCTTCCCACCGTGACCGCCCTCTTTAATTTTAAACTCGGTATGGTCAGTTTTTTTTTTTTTTTTTTAATTCCTTTGGGCCCCATGAAAAACTGCTACATATAATGGGAATTGATTTTCACTTTTTCTTTCTTACCTAGTGTTTGGGCCTAGATTCTATAAGCCCAACTTCTTTCTTGCTGGTCCACATCTCAGCTGATTAAAATAATAATTTATGTTTGAACTTAAAGCTTCATACTTTTTAAGGTCGTTTCCTAAAATTTCACAAAAAGGGTCCCGAAGCTACCCATTTTTATTATATTTGTCTTCAATTTCTTTATATATTGTCTTGTATATATTGTGTTTGAACCTAAAATTCATAATTTCAAACCCGAAGTTCAGAAAAATGTCATACAAACTTGAAGTTTCTTAACAGGCACCATTCATGTTGAGATTCGAAGTTCTCCATGATTAAACTGTTTAAACCAAAACATGTTGTAGAACCTAAATGTTCTAATTTGGATGCTTATGATGATTTTATTTTCCATAGCACCAATCACAATTTTGTTCCCTACATTCAACAAAATGTCGAACCGTAACAAGTTTGATTTCGCTGATTTGGACATTTCAAACAAAAACTATTTTATGTGGATATAATATTTGACACTCCACTTGACTACGAAAAACTGCGAAACCATTGAAGCCAACTATGGCACGGAAGAGTTGAATAAGCCTCCACCATGCTCTTTATTCAAAGATTTATGCCTGAAACATTATAAATGGAAGTACCTCACTAAAGAGGATTCCATGGCTCTTTGACTCACTCATATGGTCCATTCCAATCATGAAAAGATGATCTCTTACCTGAAGCAAGACATGATTGAAACTTTTATGTCCATGAATAGGTAATTTTGAAGTTTATATCCGATCGAATTTTGACTAGAGAAAAATTTTCTCGTCTTTCTATGTCTTTAACTTGCTCCTTCAGCAGCAGTGAAGAGAGCAAAAGTTTGGAAAATTATTGGATTTGATTACTACCACACCTGTGAGAAAATGGTACCCCAGCGATTCGGCTAGGAGATATCGAACGATATAGACTCAGCTTCGACTGAAGACTACTGAATGGTGGTACCCTGCTTCGGGAGGGATACACCGACATGCAAGCTCTGCTTTGGCATAATTGCACCGAAAGGTATGCTTTGCTTCGGCAGAGGTTGAACAGACTCCTCCAGCTTCGGCTAGAACCTCACGAAACCACATCTAGGTCTATCTTTCTCTCACACTCACGATCAAGTTTGTTTTTAGTATATGGTAGAATTAGGACCTGCCAAGGGGTGACATCACACCCAGAACATGATTCCTTGGTACTTATAACCTAAAACTTCAAGAATAAGGGACAATATTCAGAACCTCAACCCTACAGTATCTACTTCCGTTTTGACAGAAAAGATCATTGGTTATGTACATTTCCCTAGTCAATCATGAGACTAAGTTTGCTCTACCAAACACATTTGGAAAAGCGAAATTTTGACATGGAAGGCCACGTTGGTCGAACCCCTAGTACATTTGGTTTACTTTGTGAACAATTTCTTATGTCCCCAGATTTAAGTTGGTGTTTGGATATCATTACTATTCTTGAATTCGAGTTAGTTGACAAAAGTTTATACATGCAACTAATCCAATTAACTCATGCTTAGGTATATTTTGCGGGTAGTTAGCGGTCTAGTTCTATGTGCTAACTTCATACCTAATTACCTTCCTGACAACCCTTTTCAGGGTTATCCAACCTGATTGTGAGGCATGGCACTGCCCATATCATGTTGTCCAATGATTTAACTTTAAGGGAAGCCGCTTTTGAGCTTTAAGGATATTCGAGTTACTATATTGGAACCACTATAGAAAATAGAGTAAAATTCTTTTTGAATAAATCCTAAATAGATATAAATTAGGAATCCTTTGGGATCTAGAAGATCTTTCCTATTATACTTTGTTTTACTTGGAGAGCAAACTTCTCTCGTCCGTATTACTATAAATAAAGGCACAAGATCTGAAGAATAACACACAGAATTCCTCAATCCTATTTTCTATTTCTCTTTCGCTCTGCTGCCACACCTCTCTCTTCCTTAGTTAATTTATAGGCCACAACGTACATGACATAAATTGGACCATTGTTTTTTTTTTTTTCTTTTTAACAAAATTATGCAAAGAAAAGTTTGAATTAAAACGTTTTTTATTTTTACTAATTTTTTTAGCCATGTGACACTTATGACACACATCTAAATCTTAGGGTGTAATCTGACTGAATTTAAAATTTTAAGAAATTAACTAAAACTTGAGCTAAATTAAAAAAGTGAAGGAATGGACTAAACCTCATAATGTATTATTACTAATATAATTCAAAATCGTATTTTTCGATCCGATTTACAGATGAAGATAAATACAAATACCACTTGCGTATAACGAAAGAGTAACAGTTGGTAACATGCAGTTGGTTCAATCGTTCAAACAGACAGGAGGAAGAGGAGCGTAGCTATTCAGAAGGAATACAAAGATGGCGAAACCCTCCATTGCAATCACTGAGAGCTTCGCTTCCGAAGCAAAAATTGCAGACGACATTCCTCGGGAAGATGCAATCAGAGTTCTGAAATTTCTCCGACTTGTTGGAATCTCGGACCCTGTCCCAGATGAGTTCGATGCTAAGAAGGACACCTACTCCGACGTCATTCGTGACCTCCTCAAGCCCCTTCACATTTCCCCAGGCCGTGTCACCTGCGTCGTATCTGTGAAGCCTGCTGTCACTGTAATCTATCTTCCCCTCTTTATTTGTCTCTTTTTTTTGCTTCAATTTGTAATTTTCAGTGGTTCTGTTTGGTTGCTGAGAAAATTCTAGGTATGGGTTATTTATACCCGAAGTGGGGAAATTGGAGGAATAGGATTGGACCCTTTCGGGATGTGTTTGATTTGAATTGGGTTTTCATTGTGTTTTTCTATCTGGGTTTGACTAAATTGAGCTGTGTTCTTGCTTGCTTGCTGAGAAAATTTAGGGAAGGAAGAGAAAATTGCTTGATTTAATGGTTACTTGTATAACCAGTTCAAAATTAATATTGATGGAGGCCCATTCTATTAGCTTGTATGATTGGGACTTTGATCTTATACAAAGCAAAGTAAGATGCTTTGTTAGACCCCATTTCAGAGCTATTAACATCGTCATCGAATTCTGCCATTTTGCTCACTAATGTGTACTTCTATTTCAATTTGATGTCTGTTTCAATTGTTCTTGTATTTGGTGCTTCAATTGTTCTTGTATTTGGGAGAAAAGAAGATTCCACTAAACGTCGGGTTAATTTTCGTATGTTTTCGTTCATCGTCTTTGAAACCTAAGTTACCTAACAAATGTATAGATGTTTTGTTCATGAATCTGCAGAATTCCTTTTCCGGATTTCATGGAGGAGCTATTGCTGCTGTTGCTGAGGCTGTGTCCATGGCTTGTGCAAGAACTCTTGTGGCTAAGGATAAGGAGCTTTTTCTGGGGGAACTAAGCATATCTTACCTCTCTAGTGCAACAAAGAATGTAAGGCCCTTGGAATGTACATTTGTTCCTTTAAATGTAGATATATAAAGTTTGATGCACATGCCAAAATAGAAATGAAATGAATTCAAAGCTTTACTATGATTGTTTAGCTGTCTTCATTGGAAATCGAAAGGTCGTCTGAGGCATTTCAAATGGTAATGGTATTGGTATAGAATGACTAAAGGAAGGAATTAGGATTTTGATGTCACTTTAAATTTGTAAATTGTGATGATGGATTTGTACCTTTTGTGTGCAATTCCTTGAATGTCAAAGGTCTGCCTTTTGTGCGTCTTGATGCTGAGAACTTAAACTTCCGGGGTTCTTGAGTCGTTTCTTCTTTTTGTTTATAGAATCTCTTACTAATAAAATTAAAAAAAAAAAAGAAAAAAAGAAGTTGCTTGCTGAACTTTGAATCCATTTTCTGAAGATGCCAATGTGGAATTGCCTTATCACAGAATGTGATACCAACTGAAATGGGCCAAAAAGTGGGATATACAGACAGTGCTAAGTTTCCGAACCTTAAACAACATAATTTTGGCAGTCTGATACTTGATTGACTCAGGCTGATGGTGGTTTTGAACCCCACGAACTCTGTTTAGGTATAGGTTCCAAGAATAACTGCCCTATTTGCACGCAATGCTTCCAGATTCTGATGAAGATATTGAAAATTTAATTAGGTATTCAATTTGTCATTGGACATCGGTTAAGGTGCAGTCAGCTAACCGAGACATCATAAGAGAAATATCCACGTTTTCCAGTATTGGCAATTCAGTAAACTGAAGTTTACACTCTTGAATCTTGTTTATAATTTGCGTTGTTCATGCTGTTCGTTTCTCTCTGTTTTGATTTTTACTTACCAATGGGACTTTTACAGGAAGAGGTGATAGTTGACGCATCTGTTGTGCGGAGTGGAAGAAACCTCAGCGTGATAGCTCTTGAATGGAAACTCAAGAAAACTGGGCGTTTGGTTTACACTGCTCGTGCTACCTTCTACCACACGCCTGTTGCAAAATTATGATTTCGCGTATTAATTCTCTCTCTCTATGTGTTTACCCAAATTCGTACCTCTTGGACACATTTCTATAGCACATCTTGTCAATTTGCTGCCATCTGCATAGTTATTCCGATATAGATCACTATGCAGTAACTATAAGATCAATTATATCTACGTGTATACATACGATAGCGTGCAACGGGGATATGAAAGTTCTATTCATATCTGTAGTGTCTTTGATTTCATGCCTAGCAACCATATTTTGATTGTTGAGCAATTGGTACTGTTCTATAATTAGAAGGAAAGGAGACCCAAAGAAGTGTGTTTTAAGAGGAAAGCAAAACATAGGGTTGGGTTCGGTTTCAATCGATTTGGTTCGATTTTTCAAATTGGGTTTTATTTTTTTCGGATTCGGTCCTGCCCAAAATTTATCTTGACATACTCTGCAAAGAAACAAGACAGCTAACCGCAATCACGTGCAGTTAGATCCACTGAAACTAGAGAGGGGGATGCATTTATTGATGGGTTTGGCGTTTCGACGCAACATGAACACAAAGATGGCAAAACCTTCCACTGCTTTCTCTTCCACAGCCATAACTTGAACCAAGTTGTGTGTTTTCTTCATAGAGTCGGGATTTCTGACCCTATCCCGGATCGTTGCAATACAAAAGACTACCACTCTGCCTTGATTCACTGCATCCTCAAGCCTTTGCACATCCGAAAAGGCCGCGTCACCTGCCTTGTCTCCGTAAAACCTGCTGTTGCTGTAATATTTCGCTGCTTATTCTCTCCCTTCTTTGTTTCAACTTTTGTTTTTCATTTTGCCATGAATGTGCAGAATATCCGCGGAGGATTTCACGGGGGAGCTATTGCTGCTGTAGCCGAGACAGTATCGATAGCTTGTGCAAGAATGATAGTGGCCGAGGATAAGAAGATTTTCCTAGGGGAACTGAGCATCTCCCACCTCTCTGCTGCACCAAAGAATGTGAGTTAGTCCACCATAATCCCCAGTCGTTTCCTTTTATCGGATTGACCAGTATTTCATCTGAAAAGAACATTGACATTACGATACAGGCGGAGCTGATAGGTGAAGGATCTGTCGTGAAGAGTGGAAGATTTCTGAGCGTGATAGCAGTTGATTTCAAACTCAAGGAAACTCAACAGTTGGCTTACACTGCTCGTGCGACCTTGTATCACACGCGGGTTGCAAAATTATGAATTCAGAGATTAAAATTTTGTAACACATGATCATCTTATCAATGTTTATGGCTTAGTATTATACAGAGTTACTCTGAAATAAGATCCACGACGTCTTCAAATTCGAATATGACTCAAGGTGATATCACAGAGTTGCACCAAAATAATATACACTGACAAAACATGGGAAGAGAAAATACATTCGAGTGGATGAGAAGATACAACCGCCCAGCAGCCTAAGGCTTCACAACTTTGCATCAACTCTAAGCCTTACCTTTCATCCTACATCACCAATATAGCGGAAAGTGGCAGCACTTCATGTGCAGTAATGATCATCTCAAAACCAAACGTGTGAGTTTCAACTTGGAAGTCTCATCCTAGCCCCGTTTTTCCCCGATCGGATTAAATGGTTGCTGTTATTGGCTCAATACAGGGATAAACACCGACCTCCAGCACCCATATATATTGGGATTCGGGAGTTCTATACAGTGAGAGAAAAACATCAGATAAAAATCACTAACATCTACTTGCATTGAAAAAAATAATAATAACATCTGAGATCACAAGAGTATAGTCACAGTCACTTGACATATGAGACTGGCACACTCACCTACATTCGGACTATGAAAATATGGCATTGACAAAGGCCTCAGCATCAAACGGTTGAAGGTCTTCTACGCCTTCACCAACACCCACAAACTTTACAGGGATGCCGAGCTCATTCACCACGCTGACCTAAAATAAGACGCAATCTTATGATTAGTGAAGGCTAAAAAAACTTGAGAACTAAGTCTTGAAACAACAGAAGCTACATCAATATCTCAATTCAATAACAGATCGAAAACTATACGGGACAGAAGATTTGAACATACCACACAACCTCCTCTAGCAGAACCGTCAAGTTTTGTCAAAATCAAACCAGTTATACCAACAATCTGTCAAATATTTACAAGGCAAACAATCAAAACACAAATGAAGTGGCACAAAGAATTAGAGTACAAATTAAGGGCAAGACATTCAATCAAATATCCAAGTTCTACTCTAACTGACAAAATTGGAATATAACATGCTGCACCTAAACATGAACCCAAAAGGAACAAACTCAAAACATTCTTGAGAGGTGAGACAAACAAGATCATGCGAGGAATAGCCAACCATCTTAATCCAGAAGATCAAGGATAAGAACATTACTTCATTGAATTCTCTTGCTTGTGGAAGCATGTTTAAACCCGTGGTCCCATCCAGAACTAGTAGGATCTCCTGCATGTATTAAAAGAAATATTGATAGGTACATTTAGAAACATGGTACACTAGACAGATTGTATGAATTTGGAGAAGTTACTAGATATCTAAACAAATAAAATGGGTACATACAAATCAAAGAATACACCAGACAAAACGGATGAGTATGGTAATGGAAGGCGTGAATAGATTGATTCACATATCAAACAACTGAAAGGCCCAGGTGCCAGGTACAGCATAAAGAAGTTATTTGAAATATGGCATAAAAAAGGAAAGACATACAGGTGAATACAGCAATGAAACCTGTAGCATGTGTCATGAGTTGCAACTTATTACTCTCTGTGAAAGCTATGATTATCATAAAGATACAGTTAAACATCTGAAACGAACACTAGCTGGAAGGCTTGAGAGCATGAGAAAGTAGTTGAAAGGTGTTCCTTGGTTTAATCCAATAGAAGGTTTCTGGAAAAAATATATCTAAAATTTCCCTCAGCTATCACTTTACTAAACTTGATTTTTCCATTCACCGTAAATCTCATTCATGGACCGTATTGGTTCCAAGGACCTAAATGCAACATCTTGCAAGAGCTATTTCTCGATACATGATACACTATCAAAGAACATAGTCTATTCAGAAATATTCTGTTCAATGGGAAGTCCAATGTTTTAAAAGGCTCACCTCAGGGCACGCCTAGGCGGCCTCTAAGACTGGGTGTGAGGGTTGCGACCTCTGTTTTGAGGGAGTGGGTGGAAGGCGTCGCCGGAGCCGCCTAGGCGGTGAAGGCGCGCCTCAAGTCTTTCAGGCGACTCTGTTTGGCTGGTTTTTTTTTTTTTATTTTTTTATTTTTTTTACTACTCCCAAACCCAAATTTTGGGTAGGGTTTTAACTGGCTCATACCTCTTCCTTGCACTATCGTCTCTCTGTCTTTTTTTTCTGATTTTTATTTTTTTATATAATGGATGTGTGTGTTGTGTGCATTGATATATGTGTGCTCATTGTGCTTTTCATACTCTATTTAAAAAAAAAAATATATATATATATATATATAACATAATATATGTATATATATGTGTACATATATGTATAATAATGTGTGTGCTCAGGGTGATTATTGATTAATAATTTTTTTTTAATATAATATATGTGTACGCTCAGGGTATATATTAAAAAAATTTAGGTCCTGTGAGGCTTCGCCTCATGCCTAGTCTGGGCTATCCCTCAGACGCCTCGTCCACGCCTCACGCTTTTAATACACTGGAAGTATCACATGCCTAGATTTTCGAATTTGATAATAAAAATATGATAAAAGTGTCCAACAGCCGAGCTTACATTAGGAGCGCCAGGCATGACTTTCGTCACAGCTTTCTTACATGCAATCAACTCTTCCATCAAGCTGTAATTAGTGTGCAGACCTGAAATTTTATACATTAAGCGCAGAGAATCAGCTAAGCTCACAAAATTACGTAAACAGTTCAAGAGGAGTATGAAAGGTTCTCCGACAAACTTACGTCCGGAGGTGTCACATAAGACAACATCATAACCTTGTTCTTTCCCTGTCTTCACAGCCTGAGAAATAACTATTCAGAAAGCACTTAAAGACTGTATGTCAGTAGTTATACCACGTTAAATGAATTCCACAGACAAAAATTCTAGAAAGGAAAAGAAATTATAAGCTCATCTCTCTGTCCAATCAAAGTTGTCTACCTACCTGATGCTGCTTTGGCCTTCTCTTTTTCAGCCACAACAATCTCACACCCAGTCCTCTCGGCCCATATCTCCAGTTGGTCACCGGCAGCTGCTCGAAAGGTATCCCCTGCTGCCATTAATACCTGGCCAATTAAAAAACGCAAAGGGATTTAGACCACAACATGTTTTACTCGCAAAAGACAAAACCAATTCACTGCAGCCAGGACAATTAACAGATGAAAACTTCTCACCTTTGCCCCTCCATTCTTCAATCTATAAGCGAGTTTTCCTGCATGAGGATAGGTGATCAGATCATTATCAATCTTAATGGGCCCTTAACCACTTAAACCACAATACAATAAGAAAACAGACTGCAAGCAGGATTTATGTAGTGGATATGTCACTACTGTGTTCGTATTAAAGCTTTCTCAACTTAAGGTCGGCTCTCATGTCCAGTAACTTTTCCCCAAAAATGCATGCCATTAGATTAAACCGGTTGGATATCAAAATGTCTGTTAAAACCTCAGCACACCACATGATACAAACTAAGTTCTATTCTTACCAAGAGATGTTGTCTTCCCACCTCCATTAACGCCAACAATAATAACCACAGCCGGCTTCCTGCATTACAAAACATGAACTCCAAAATTGAAGACAACATCTTAAAAATCAACAGAATCTCTAAAACTCGAAAAAGCTCGTGACCTGTATCCGAGTTGAAGTTCAGTTTTGCCTTTAATAGTTAACAAGTCCAGCACACTTTTCTTCAACGCATCCTACAAACATCCCGATTGCGATACCACATTATTACATTTCACGTGCATACCAATTAACTTAAAAACACTGCAATCGATTCCTCAGACAAATTTACATACCTAAATCTTATATAATGGGGCAAATTCAATTACTTTTCGGAGAAATAAAAGCAAGACAAATCATACAAATAACATTCAAATGCTAAAAGGCAATGTTAAAGTTCTTGTCAACTGTTAGGATTTACCTTAATTTCGCTTCCAGATTTAAGCTTCCCAGCAGCTATATCCTCCCTCAGGCTCTCCACAATCTTAATCGTGATTTTCGGCCCGAAATCGGATACCAGCAGAGCCTGAAACCGAAAACAACAGACTTAAGTTACATTTTCCCTGAAAATTGATGGTAAAATATTTTCTCAAGAAACAAACAGGGATAGATAGAAAACCTCTTCGAGTTCGTCGAGGACTCGATCAGTGTCGGCGAGGTTCCAGTAGAGCAAAAGCTCGTCGACGACAGCGAGATTATCGCGAGTCTTTGAGAATCCCGAGAAGAGCTTATCCACGTCGCTCTTGGCCTTCTCCTTGATAAGCCTTCCGAGCCGGGTGAAGAACCCGGTCTCCCCCGCCCGGCATTTGAACCGGGAATGGTCGGGCCGGGAAGGGGCTAGCAGGAGGTAGTGGTGCTGTGGCGGTGAAGTTTTGGAGAGGACTGAGAGACGATGAGGGAGAGAGGAAGGCAAGCGCGACGCCATTGCTGTTGAGCTGAGACTGGATTGTTTTTCGGATATCGGATAATGTGGTAAAGTTTGCAGTGGGTATTCTGTGTTGGCGCCTTTGGAAACGTCGTCGTATTAGGCCGGAAGGAACTAATTTTAATACATAAAATTATATAAAAGTCACATATATATATATATATATATATATATATATATATTACAGTCATGTTTAGAATAAGAATGTGATTGTATAAATCCTAGTTAATTTAGGTATATCTCTTATATTCCTATTAGGAGTTGTAATTCTAAAAAGGTAAGAATTTTACCTGTCCTACTACTATAAATAAAGGCACAACGAGGTGATTCAACATACACCTCACAATTAAATCACTCTTCTCTCTCACTATTGCCGGCCTCCCTCTCTCTATTCCCTTAGAATAGCTCAGTTAAATAAGCGTACAACACGTTATCAACGTGCTCTTGCCAGAAGCTAAGGAATTGACGGATCGTAGGATGAGACTATCTTCTACAAAATTCAAAGGCTTTTATTTATTTTCTGCCAATCAGGTACGCTTAAAACAAAGGAAAATATTTGAAAAGACATTGAAGCATAAAAACATTCTTCATGATGCATGAACCCCCTATGTTTATATTTTCCTTCTGATATATATATTGTATATGTTTCATATATTTGTCAATATATATATATATATATATATATATATGTTTCATGCATTATGCAATTAAATTGCTATGTGGAATTGTGAGTCAAAGCATATAAATAAATTAGAAGCATGTTAGGGTTTTTCAAACCTTAGAGAAGCCAAAAAAAAAAAAAATTGGCAATTGTGCGACACAACCGTCGAACCACCACCTCTGGCCTGAAGCTCAGCCGCGTGAAGCACGTTATGGAACGGTGTCATTTTGACACCTTGGACCTCACGGTAGCAGCCCTTTGGGCTTTACTATGCTAACCCAAACCCTAAGCCTTTAGCCTGATAAGCTTTATAAAGGTTGAAGTCCCCTAGCCTACCTAAGAAAGCCTACAACCTTTTCTTAGCTCGTTGTCCTGAGTCCATGGCCCAACTCTAGCATCCTTGGCTATTGGGGTTCGCCACAATGTTCAGCCCTATTGCCCACAGTTTTTGTTGCTGGCTTGACCTGCCCCTAGCCCCAACCCGAAACCCAACTTCGACTGGGCTTCCCGAGACCAACCCAAAGGCCAGCTTTCACTGGGCCTGTACCTATGCCCAATTTTGTCACAATGCCAGCAGACTTGGCTGCTGGTCTCCCCAAACTCGCTCGACTTGAGGCCTGCAACTGAACCTGCAAGGCCCTTCTCCCATATTATTTTGTTTCCACGATCAACCCCATTTGGTCGTGATCTATTGAATTAATTAAAAGTGACATGCAGTCCATTAATCTGATAATGAATCCAAAATTATTAACTTGATATCACTTTTCGACATTAACAATTCAATAATTTATTTTTATACTTTGAACCGTTGTCATACTTTCGTAGTCACGAAGCTTTCACACTTGAGTTCCTGAATCAACTTAAATCCACTATACTTAAATCAGGATATTGCATTCTGTGTTTCTTGCAGGTACCTATCCTTTATGAACTAATCGTTCATAAAACTAAGTTGAACCTGTAGTTTCATATTTAGTGCCTTTGAAAACTGAACTTTTCATTCAAAACTTACCACATGAAACCTGTAGCTTTCATGCATAAATTAAACCAATACATGTCTATAGAACCCGAATGTTCTACGACATATGTCAATGGATCACCATATGACTAATTACGTTTTTGTTGTACCCTTCTTTTTTGGGACATGTCGAACTTAAACAAGCTTGATTTCATCGCTCTGGAAGTATATGGAAGAAACTACTTAAAGTGGGTTCAAGATGTGAAACTCCATCTTACTGCAAATGGCATTAGAGCCACCATCGAGACACCTATCGACGACAAACATGTTGACAAAGCTCAGAAAGCTAATGCAATGATCATCATTTAAAGACACACCCATGATGATCATCGCATTAGGTAAGGATAGGAATATACATATAAGGATCATTCCCCTGGGCGATGTGGGATGTCACAATTCACCCCCCTTAGGGGCCCGATGTCCTCGTCGGCACACACGCGACCAAGGTTAGGCTTTGATACCAAATTGTCACATCCCAGCCCAAGCGGGACCACTTCCCGAGCCCGCTCCACCACCGTAGCATAATATTGTCCGCTTTGGGCTTACCATTCCCTCACGGTTTTGTTTTTGGGAACTCACGAGCAACTTCCCAATAGGCCACCCATCATGGGATTGCTCAAGCCTCCTTCTCGCTTAACTTCAGAGTTCCTACGGAATCCGAAGCCAGTGAGCTCCCAAAAGGCCTCGTGCTAGGTAGGGATGGGAATATACATATAAGGATCACTCCCCTAGGCGATGTGGGATGTCACAATCCACCCCCTTAGGGGCCCGACATCCTCGTCGGCGAACCATGGCCAGGGTTAGGCTTTGATACCAAATGTCACATCCCGGCTCAGGGCGGATCACTTCCCGGGCCCGCTCCACCACCGTAGCAGGATATTGTCCGCTTTGGGCTTACCATTCCCTTACGATTTTGTTTTTAGGAACTCACGAGCAACTTCCCAGTGGGTCACCCATCATGGGATTACTCTAGTCCCCTTCTCGCTTAACTTTGGAGTTTCTACAGAACCCGAAGCTAGTGAACTCCCAAAAGGCCTCTTGCTAGGTAAGGATGGGAATATACATATAAGGATCACTCCCCTAAGCAATGTAGGATGTTACAATCCACCCCCCTTAAGGGCCTGACGTCCTCGTCGGCACACACGCGACCAGGGTTAGGCTCTGATACTAATTGTCACATCCCCGCCGGGGGGGACCACTTCCAGGGCCCACTCCACCACCGTAGTATGATATTGTCCGCTTTGGGCTTACCATTCCCTCACGGTTTTGTTTTTAGGAACTCACGAGCAATTTCCCAGTGGGTCACCCATCATGGGATTGCTCTAGCCCCCTTCTCGCCTAGCTTCGGGTTCTATCGGAACTCCGAAGTTAAGCGAGAAGGGGGCTAGAGCAATCCCATGATGGGTGACCTACTGGGAAGTTGCTCGTGAGTTCCTAAAAACAAAACCGTGAGGGAATGGTAAGCCCAAAGCGGACAATATCATGCTACACTGGTGGAGCGGGCCTGGGAAGTGGTCCCCCCAGGGCCGGGATGTGACAATTCGCATCTAAGTTTAAGTTGGTCTAAAGTATGGTTATATGGGTTCAAATGAAATTTCTCAAAACAAAATAAAATAAAATAAAATAAGGTCGTTTACTTGTAATTCTAAATAAGAACATATAAACATATTGTTGGAATCGGTAAAAGTATTAAGTAGCATCTATCGATTTATTATAGTGATGACTAAGTGATCTAAGTTTAAATTGATTTTGTTTGCAAAGATAATCTTTACATAATGACATATAATATGAAGGGATCTAATAAAAAACAGAGAGTTTTGTGAGTCGGCTACAAAGTGTTCTAAGAATGACTCTCTTCAAAACCTTTAATAGCCAAGTAGTGTTCATTTGTGTTTAACAATTAAACCAAAGCCATAAATTATTTCAAGGAGGGTCAATCTTAAATAACTATAAGGAGAGAGTATAATAACAAAAAATCATATAAAAATCTAAATCCTTTAATAAGAAACAATCTCACCCCAATAAACAACATATAAACAAACAAACAAAAATGATATCAGCTTATTCATGGTGTTTTGTCCATAGACAATTGCAAAGTTAGGGTTAAGGATTCCTTTCTTCTTCTTTTTTTGTCTAAGTTAGGTAATTACTTAATTACATGATTCATTTGATTCAAAGAAGAATTAAAAAGAGGGAGCCATGCTGTCCTGGAGTTGCCAAAAGCAATGGGCAAGGAGGGGACAACCTACCGGTTTAAGAGTTGAATTGCTAATTGATTTGTTTAGATATAATATTTGGTAATTAAATATGGTAAAAAATTGAAGTAATAAAATTATAAGCCTATTGTACATAATTAATGTTCAGGGGTTAGGAATTTTTAGTGACCCAGAATGGTCAATTACAAGCATATTGTACATAATAAGTTTGAGAGTTGTTATACCCACCCTACAATCTTATTTTCTCCCCTACATTTTGATGAAAAATTTAATGACACATTTGACCTTTTGTAAAATGACTTCTAAAGCCCTAATAAAAATGAATAGCCAAAAGAAAGAAAAAAAAAATCAATGTTTTAAAAGGCGAAGGCGTGAGCAAGGCATTTGATGGATATCCCTCCTAGTCGAAAGCCTTGAGACGTAAGGCGAAGCCTCACAAGACTTAATTTTCATACTATATATTATATATTATATATATGAATATATTATAATACTTTGAAAAACAAATATTCATTGTCATTCAAAAGTGCACAAATTATAAACAAGTATAACTCACATGACCATATGACAACCCGTTCCAAATTTTACGTTTTTATTTTATTTTAAAAGCGTGAATTTACGAAAATGCCCTAGAGGCAAAGTTTTGACTTATGTTGACCATCGTCTGGAAAGACGTATGACTTATTCTTTTAACATATTCTCGTAGTACTCGTTGGTGTAAACGCATAGGCGAAAGCCGTTTGCGAGTCTGGATTATAACGGTATAGTTATGGATGTTTGAAAATGGTTATTTAAAGTTTAGTTATAAATTATTTGAATTCCCACCTTGTGGGAAAGTGGTCAATCAAATTTTAGGCACAAATAGGAAAGACCAATCAAGTATAAGGCCAAGGAACCAATTAGAATTAGAGGGAGAGGGTGAGACCTAATCAGAAGAGAAAGGAAAAAAAAAATGGGAAAGCTTCCCGTGCACCCATGCCTACCCTATGTGACCACCCATTTTCCAAGGCCGATTCCGGCCAACTCCGATGGCGTTTTTCGACGCCACCACCACCATCTTAAAGCTCTCATTCCCCTCTACAGAACTCACCCAAGAACCACCTTGATTAACCATAGTATATGGCGGTTGGAGGCCACGAA